CTGGGCCTATCCAAAAAATATAAGTCAGTAGTGAGAAAAGTAAGATTTTATACTTAGGCAAAAAAAAGAGCAAATGCACAGGTATAGAAAAGATAGTACCTGGTTCAATAGCAGTAACTGTAAGAAGGATCTAGGAGTCTTAATGGACAATCACTTAAATATGAACCAGCAGTGTGCTCCAGCTGCAAAAACAAGCCGCAGTCCTAGACTGCATCAACAGAGGGATAGACTCAAGATCATGCGAAGTATTAGGCCTGATGTATAATGCTTTGGTAAGACCACATTTGGAATACTGCAACCAATTTTGATCAATACTGCAACCAATTATGATACAAAAATTATGTTAAGACTCTGGAAAAAGAAGAGTGTTAGGAATGTAAGTCACCTAACAGTTATTTGGGTTGGAAATATATAAACCAGGATAGACATTTTAATACTGTATCTTTAAGAAAGTGCTAAAACTGTAATTGGGTGTGGTTCCTCAAACAGCCATAAGATGGAGCCAGAAACCTGGGTTGTTTTAGTCTCATTGAAGTGAGTGAGTCTCTGTTTCCTTCTGTTGGAGAGTGTTGCCGTTACTCCTAATGACTGTTACTGATCGTTGATGTAAGTCTGTTACTGAACTGTTTTTGATACTGGACTTTGATATTTGGATTATCCCTGAACTGAACACTGACTGCTTTACCTGTGAATGACTTGGACTGCTTATCTTGGACTGTGCTTAAATGTTTATTGGAAGTAAAAACCTACATTTACTGTACAGTGTATCTGCGTGCTGTGTGTGTGTTATTCTTCACTTCTCTCACTACGTCTCCCTGTATGCGCTCATTCTCCTAATGGGGAATTACCTCAACACTGGTTATGGGCCCAGGCCATATCAGGCTCAGATAACTGAGAGTTAGTGTGAATGCACAATACTGTATGCAGACAGCTGTTTATTGTTTAATTGTGGGTTACTATCCTGGTAAAGATGGCACAAGACACTTCAACAAGTCTATCACTAATAACCCGGTTGGATGGAACAAACTATGTTTCCTGGTCTATGAAGTGCAGTCTACTTCTGTATAGAGAAGGGTTATGGACTGTAGTTCAAGACCCACCGGATGTAAATGCTTGGGATCCAGAAAATGAAGACATTGCCAAGAAGCTTGCTGACTTTAAACTGAACAATGAACGAGCTCTTTGTATAATTGGACTAACACTGAGTGACCAGCAGCTAGTCCATATTCGTGGAGAAGAGTCTGCTGCTAGGTGTTGGGAGAATTTGAAGAGGATTTATGTTTGTGACAGTGTAGGTGCACATATATATCTTACATGTAAACTGTTTAGAGCACGTCTTCTGAAAGGTTGGCTCATTTGAACTTCATGAAAATAACTTTTCAAGAGCTACATGAAGAGGAACTGATATTTTCAGAGCTGCATCAAGTTTATATCATTCTTTCCTCATTGGATGAAAGTTATGATGATTACGTATCCTCACTAGAAGTCCTGCCTAGAGATAAACTAACATTGACTGACATAACCAGAAGTTTGTTAGAAGAAGCAAGAAGACTGCTGGATAGGGACCAACTGAGGAAGGAACAACCACAAGAAGAGAATTTGTCTTCAACTGCCTATACTGTTAGGAAATGTTTTTCTTGTGGGGCTAGGGGACATATAGCTAGATTCTGTAAGAAGAGAAAACAACAGAATACTGGTAATCACCAGGAGGTCAAGAAGAATGTTAGTTTAGCTATGTCTAGAAATTCAACTGTAAACCATGATTTGTGGGTTGTTGATAGTGGAGCATCGCAATGCATTACTAAAGATAGAGAGAGGTTTGTAAAGATGTCCACGAGTAAGCAACATGTATCATTGGCAAATGGATGGAAGATGAAGGCTTCTGATAAAGGTACTGCATATTGTTCTTGTATAAATGAACACTTAACTATGTTTTATATGTACCTAAACTGAAATTTAATTTGCTATCAGTAAGGGCTTTAGTTAATCTTGGTTATGTAGTAACCTTTAGGGGAGATAATTGTATAATAGAGAAAGAGGGTAAAAGTGTTACTGCTAATTTAGAGAATGATTTATATGTGATACATGATGATCAGTTGAGGATGGCTAACTCGGTTTATAACAATGTTAAACCACATGATGAATGTATACATTTATTGCATAGACGTCTGGGGCACATTAATTTCAAAATGTTCAAACAAACTGTTGAATTGTCGAAGTAAAATTGAAACCCTGTAGCAAGTATTTAAACTGTAATGCTTGTAGTCAAGAGAAAAGTAAAGTTATTCCTGCAAACAGACTTAATGGGTTTAAGACCAAAGAACCTTTAGAGGTTGTTTTTGCTGACATAATTGGTCCTAAGAAACCTAGTTTAGGAGGTGCCTGCTATATTTTGAGTATTATGGACCATTACTCACGATACGGTTTCTGCTATCTTATGAAAAACAAAACAGAAACATTCCAGCATTTCTTTAATTGGCTAAGGTTTGCAGAGAGAAAAATGAGGAGTAAAGTAATTACTTTAGTTACTGATAACGGGACTGAGTTTGTTAACAAAAGATTCCAAACTATGTTGAAATTGGTTGGTGTTGAGCATCCACCTTACAGACCACTACATAACTTGTTTGTAGAACGAAGAGGGCAAATGTTACAAGCCATGGCTCGCACTATGTTATCTGATTCAGGTTTGCCTGAAACACTGTGGGGTGAGGCCATAATGTGTAGCAATCATGTGTTAAACAATGTAGTTAACACAACAATTGGAGAATTGCCATTCACTTGTTGACATGGCAGAAAACCAAATTTAAGTTACCTACACACATTTGGAGCTCCAGCATGGGTGCATATTCCCTCACAAGTAAGACTGAAAGGGCAACATAGAGCTAAGAAGTTATTTTTTGTAGGTTATGAAGCCAACCATAGATCGTTTAGATTTTGAGATCAAGGCACAGCTCATGTTTATTGTAGTGCTAGCACAACATTTCTTGAGCACATTGGGTGGGATAAACTGGAACAGGAATCCAGCAATGATGTTATTATTGACTCCAAAGTAGTCCCTAAAGATAAAATAAGTAAACCACGAATAGCCATTAAAGAGGAAGAACAGGCACAGGAGGAAGTAGGAGAATAGGCACAAGAGGAAGTAGAAGAACAGGAGCAGGTGGCACAAGAAAGTCCACCAGTAAGCCCTGTATTACCAAGACGTTCAACTCGAGTAACACGACCACCTGATAGATATCTGGCTAGTGTTGTATGCCAAGTGAATACAGTTCCAAGTAACTATAGTGAACTAAAACTGTATCCTGCTAAGGATCAGGCTGCTTGGCAGGAAGCAATGAATAAGGAACTGGAATCATTTAAAAAACTGGAGGTATACGAAAATGTTAAATTACCACCAGGTAAACATGCCATAGGGTGTAAATGGATTTATAAGCTAAAGACAGGTGTGGATGGGACTGTTATCCATAAAGCCAGATTAGTAGCACAAGGGTTCAATCAGACAGCAAATGACTACGATGAGGTGTTTGTGCCTAGTCTGGAGGCTACTACATTAAGGGTGGCATTAGTGTGAGCAGCTAAGGAGGAATACATTGTAAATCATTAAGTTCATTCTACTTCGGAGAACAATGATATTCTCCTTTGAGCTGCTCGGATCATCCAGAGAGTGGGAGGTGCTCCAGTCTGCATCTCTGTAGGCTGAGCTTAATTACTGAAGAACGTTCTGCCCTCCATCACGTGGTCCCTTGCAGCGTTCCCCAGTTTATGCTCAGCCTTCGGAGAGTTAGGCTGTGTGTGTGTATACCTCCTTCCTTGGCCGATTCAAGCACTCTCTTTTCAGGTTTGATTTATTTCATTTGTGTCTTCCTTAGCCTCTGCACATTTGGGGTGCCTTGGGTGAAGGGGTGCGTGGTTTTTCACCCCCAAGGGGGAAAGAGCGGGCGGCTTAGCAGCGCTTCTACGCTAATCCCCCCCTCACTCGTTTCCTTTGTTTTCCTGCCGTTTCCCTGTGCCACCCTCACCAGCGGCCTGAATCGATCGCGCTTTAGCGCAGCTGGTTATCCCCCCACCCGAACGCCGATTGCCCCAGGAAGGGGTGATTTCTACCTCGCTGCCCTCTAGGCGCGTTAATTTGCCAGAGGGACCTAGTTCCGTCCTGAGCGGCCCGTCGACGAAAGATTTGCAGGCGGCCGCCATTTTGGGCGCTGCCTCGTGCTCGGGCGCCATCTTCTGGCCTCTCTATAGCTGCGAAGTTACTATTTAGCTCTCTGGCACAGGCCTCCCAGCCTGTTAGAGCTTCCTTTTTGCCATTGCTGGCTGAATTTAATAATAAAAAAGGAAAGAATTGGTATTGGAGTGTTGGCTTTTCCGCAGCGGCGCTCAGGGCGAGGAAAAATTGCAGCCATTCCCTCCCGGTTGTTCTCGGGGGTGGGGCAAGCTGCTAGAGGCCTTTTTTTGTCTCAGGCGTTCATTTGACCAATTGGACAAATACCTCTATCCTACCCTGGTAGTCACTCGGTACCAGATTTGTTCAGTAAGATTTTATTATAATAAAGAATAAATAAACAATATTTTTATAATTTTATACCTGTTGCTTAACTCTATTCCAATTGTGAGCAATTACTCACAGCATATATATATATATATACATATCTGCATAAATATATTTTCAGATACGTATAATTACAATATATTAATAATAATAATAATAATAATAATAATAATATAATTATTTAATCATATTTTTACAGATTATTCTCTTACCAAATTCTAAAAGGGGGCGCGGGCCAGCTTAAAGGATACCCGGCCTCTCCTGTAGGTCGAATCCTTGGCGTGCCAACCGCCTATAATATTCTATTCAATCCCTTGTAAAATGGCAGACGATAATTCCGCTAAGCGCCTTTCTTTGAAGGCCAAATCTAAGTCCCACCATGTGCGCAGACAGGCTAAGGAAACCTCTCAGGAGGCTTCCAAGGCCTCTCAAAGGGATGCCTTAAGACGCCATAAGGCATTAGAGAAAGAATTTGACAGACGATCCAGGGTGTCTCAACCAGTACCTCCAGCCATTCCTTCTACTTCTATGCACCGCCCCCTCCTCCAGATTGTTCTCCCCTCTCCAGGCACAGCTCACTCCAGGAGCCTCAGGTCCCTGGACCATCGACCAGGCGGATGCCCGAAGCCACATTCACCCCCACGGCTGCCGGTCTCCGCCAGGAGGAGCCCGCCACAGTCGAGATCCCTGAACATATGAGGGCTTGGATGGAACAGGCTATCCGCCAGGGGATTGCTCAAGGCCTGCAGCAGATGTCCAAGCCAGGCCTCCTTCAGATGGCTCCCGTACACGAGTCGCTATCAGCCAGGTCCTCGCCCAGACCGGACCCTGCTCACGGTCAGGTACCTTCACAGGGGGCCAGCCCTCCTCCAGAAGGGGAACTGGAGGAGGAGATGGAGGTTTTGGACCAGTACAGGGAGGAGGAGGAGTTTGAATGGGGGTCCACTCTTCATGGGGAGCCCTTATCGGAGATAGATCCGATGGATGCGGAACTGTCTGAGGACGAGGGTCTCACTCCTGACCAACCTTCCTTTGTGGGGCTGTTCAAACCACACATGTATAAATCTATCTTCTTCAAGGCCAAGAACACTTCTGGTCTATCTGTACAATCCCCCTCTGCTCTCCCTTCCCCCGCTGAAGGTCCAGAGGACGCCATTTTTAGGCAACCCGTGGTGGAAGGGGATGTTATTCCAGCTCCACCCATCTTTCACGACCTAGTTTCGAACCAGTTGGTTTCTACGGGGGCCCCTCCTGCTCCATCCAACCAGGACAAGAGGTTTTTTAACCTCGAGCCAAGCTTTTGCTCCCTACTTAATACCCCGGAGGTTGATGAGCCCATTGTTGGCCTAGCATCCTCCTCCTCTCCCAGCGATCCTCTGGAGGCCCTCAAGCCCGAGGACAAGAGGTCCGAACTAGCTTTATGTCGGGCTCATTTAGCCGACTCTTGGGCCATTAGATTGGCCACGGCCGCCTCCTTCTTCACCAGGTCCTTGATCCAGTGGCTACGCCAACTGAAACAGCATGTCCCCCCCTCTAACACAAGGGCACACCAGGACATTGCAAAGATCACGGCCGCAGCAGAATTTTCGGCCTACGCCACCTACCACACGGTCAAGTTCTCCCGGGCACTAGTCTCTCCCATTACGGCCCGTCGTCTGCTCTGGCTCAAACCCTGGCAGACAGACGTAAAAAATAAGGTTAAGCTGGCAACCGCCCCCAGCAAGGGGGAGAAGCTTTTTGGTTCGGCGCTAGATCCCCTGCTTGCCGAAACCAGGAGCAAGAAAAAATTCCTTCCTTCCCTTTTTCGGAGACCAGACTCGAGAACCCCTCAGCCTTTTCGGAGAGGGTCCTCCCGACCCTTCTACCAGTCTCCCTTCCCGCCCAGATACACGAGACCCTCCTATCGACCATTCCATTCCATTCCCAATTCCAATCCGACCCTTCCATTCCAAATTCCTCAGGTTCTGTTATAATCATCACCACTTCCAATACGTGGCCCTCCCCTTTGGGTTGTCTTCCGCCCCTAGAGTCTTCACTAAGGTCATTGCGGCCCTGGCGGCTCACCTCAGGGACCGTCCGGTGCGACTCCACTGCTACCTGGATGACATCCTCATCCTGTCCCACTCCAAACGCCAAGCAGAGAAGGACACCAGGGCTACCCTCTCTGCCCTCCAGGGCCATGGGTTCTTAGTAAATTGGAAAAAGAGCCAATTGCTTCCATCTACCCGGATATGTCACTTGGGGGCCGTTATTGACACAGTTCAGGTGAAGGTCTTCCTTTCCTCGGAAAGGTTCCTTAGCATCCAAAATTCTGTCAAACTCATTCGATGATCAAAAAGGGCTTCTCTATTAGATTTGTCTAAATTGCTAGGCAAAATGGTTTCATGCATTTCTATTGTTCCCTGGGCCCGTTTACACACCAGATCCTTGCAGTGGCTCCTGCTCCCGTTCCAAAGGTCCGGCAGAAGCAATTCAAAGACCACAATCAAGGTGCCTCCAAAGGTCCTCACATCTCTTCTCTGGTGGACCAACCCCGCCATCAACAAGGGTCATTGCTTCAAGGAACCCCACCGCCTCACCATCACCACAGATGCCAGCCTGTCCGGCTGGAGCGCCCACATCCAATCGTTCACGACGCAGGGCAAATGGTCGCAGGCTGAGCGGGTATGCAGTATAAACTGGTTGGAGCTCCACGCCATTCATCTGGCCCTGCGCAACTTCCTCCCTCAGGTAGGCGGGCGGCATGTCCTTATACTCACTGACGTCACCGCCAAGGCTCACGTCAACAGGCAAGGGGGTACCCAGTCCATCCGATTGATGAGGGAGGCCGAACGACTCTGCCGTTGGGCAGAGCGTCACCTCCTTTCGATCAAAGCAGAACACATCTCAGGGGTCTCAAACACCCGAGCAGACTGGCTGAGCAGGGCCACGGTGGACCAGTCCGAGTGGCGCATCCACTCGTCCCTGTTCAAGGAGGCAACCATGATCTTCGGTCTTCCCTCTGTGGACCTCTTCGCATCCCCCCTCAACACACAACTCCCACGGTTCTTCTCCAGATACCCTTCCCCCGGGGCCGAGAACCACAATGCCCTTCATTGCCCCTGGCCCCTGGGGCTCCTGTACGCATTCCCCCCATTATCCCTGCTCCCCAGAGTCATACAGAAGCTGATCCAAGAAAGAGCAGAACTCCTGCTAGTGGCCCCCTACTGGCCCAGGCGCCCATGGTTTGCGGACCTCGGCAACCTGTCTGTTGCCCCTCCCTGGAAAATCCCCCCGAACAGGATCTCCCTTTCCCAGGGACCCCTACAACATCCGGACCCCCAATGGCTCCAATTAGCCGTTTGGAGGTTGAGCGGGAATGGCTAAGAAACGAGAAGCTTTCCGACCAAGTTATTAATACCATCTTAGCCGCCAGATGGCCCTCAACTAACCAAATATATAATGCCACCTGGGTCAGTTTCTGCAAGTGGTGCCATAATTCCCAGGTCAATCCGCTTTCGCCCTCCATTGCTCAAGTTTTGGATTACCTCCACGACGGGCTGAGGAGAGGGCTTTCCCCTAACATCTTGAGATGCCAAGTTGTGGCCCTCTCGACTGTCGTCTCTGGCGACAGTCTTGGGCCCCTTTCTCACGACCCTCACATCAGGGCCTTCCTCAGGGGAGCCACTAACCTTTGTCCCCCTGTCGTGCATCGATACCCCACCTGGGACCTTAACAAGATCCTTGTGGCCCTCACTAAACCTCCCTTCGAGCCTCTCAGGGAGTCCACCCTCCAATTCTTAACTTTCAAAGTCGTGTTCCTGGTGATGGTTACTTCAGCACGCCGAATCTCAGAGATTGCAGCCCTGTCGGTGAGAAAGGACCTCTGCATCTTCCATGCTGACCGGGTAGTTCTCCGACCTGACCCGACCTTTCTGCCCAAGGTCAACTCAACCTTCCACAGGGCACAAGAACTCACACTCCCTAACTTCTGTCCCAATCCCTCGCGGGAGAGGGAGAAGCGATGGCACACCCTGGATGTGAGACGGGCCCTCCACATTTACATCAAGCGCACACAACCCTTTAGGAGGTCTGAATCCCTATTCCTTTCCTTTCAACCCAAGACATTAGGCCACAAGGTGTCACCTTCTACCATTGGCCGCTGGATCAGAGCCACTATCGCTAAGGCTTATTTGTCTCAGGCTTTGCCAGTTCCCAGCGGGGTTACTGCACATTCCACCAGAAGTGCGGCTACCTCGGCAGCCTGGGCCACCCAGGCTCCAATCTCGGACACTTGTCGGGCCGCCACTTGGGCCTCTCCGTCTCCTTTCATTAGGCATTATAAGATAGACATATTTGCCTCGGCGGAGGCCTCGTTTGGCAGACGAGTCCTTCAGCGGGTTATCGAAGACCCGCGGGAGCCTCCACCCCAGACGGAGTCCCTCCCGTAGGACAGCCAAGCTTTGGTATGTCCCACTCTCTGGATGATCCGAGCAGCTCAAAGGAGAATGGGCGTTGGTCTTACCTGACACGCCATTTCTCTTCGAGCTGCGAGGATCATCCAGCCCCACCCTTTTCCTTTCACCGTCTGGGGGAATCTTGTTTCGGCCAGTGATCCCTTAAGTCTAATCAGATGAGAGTGCGACCTTCTCTTTCCTCTCGACTTCGCATAAATTGGAGAACGCTGCAAGGGACCACGTGATGGAGGGCGGAGCATTCCTCAGTAATTAAGCTCAGCCTACAGAGACGCAGACTGGAGCACCTCCCACTCTCTGGATGATCATCGCAGCTCGAAGAGAAATGGCGTGTCAGGTAAGACCAACGCCCAATTGCAGAAACTGACCTACTAGGTAGGCTTATCGTGGCTTCTGATCTGCAACTTATACTTGAAAAAATATTGTTTTACCTTATAAAATTTCTTTTAAGATTACTTTTTAAAAAATGTATATTTAGGGTCAAGGTTTGTTTTACAAACCCACCCATGTAACTTATTTTACCTCTCTTAATTCATATTACTCTCACTATGTGCAGTTCTTATTGCATGCTTCAACCATCCTTTTGATCTTTTTTGCTTATGAAAGCACATTATTATCTTCATTTATATTTCCCTCATTTGTCCTGACAGCCCATTTTACACTGTCTGGAATGTGAATGTCCAGTTATAAGGCTTTTAAAATTCAATTTCATGTTTTGTGTTTTACAGGTTTCCCTGGCTTGCGCCCCAAATCAGTATATGTCAGTACAACTTATGATGGTGGAAATGTTTATAGTACAAAAATTCCATACCTGGATGCTCGTGTAACTTTTATAAAATGGCTTGTAAATTTTTTTCTGGAAAAGAAATACCTTACAGCAGCACAATCTTCCAAAAATGGTGTGGAAGTTCTACCCAGAATCATTCAAGTATGTTGCTAGCGTTATTTGGTTTAGCATTTCTGACGTTGAATCAACATCAAGTTACATTATCTAAACTAACTTTTATATGAGCTTATAAACTTAAATTTCATTTAGTAAAATATTACATATTTTGAGTCCTAATACCTTAAATAAGTATCATGTTTCTAGTAATCAACTTTAGTAATGGAATAACATCCTTTTAATAGTTAACATTATTAAACATTTATTTCAGGTTAGCTTTAACTGGCACCTGAATTAGCACCTGAATGTCTAAGTTGTGCGCATATGCATTGTGAGTTTGTGATTTGTTAAGACATTGTAATTTTTAACAGCAGCAAAGAATAGTTTAGAACAGGGGTGTCAAACTCATATCGTCATGGTGGCATCATGTGATGTATCGGGACTTCTTTCCCTTTCACTAAACTGGGCAGGGGTGTGGCCAGCATGTGACACATCCAACCCGTGGGCTGGGAGTTTGACAGCCCTGGTTTAAAATCAAGGTGTTTTCCCTTGTGCCCTACCATGCTCAAATATACTTTTTTGAAAGATTATGGCAATTGCCACTTAACTGCAGGCTATCATTTAGGATTGTCCAGAAGCTTCCATTGATAAAAGAAGTGTTTTTCCAGTGAAACTGGTCTATCAGGACAACCTGGTCTACCCAAATATGGGACGGAACATACTATTTCCACTTTAACCTTTCAGCCCCAATCCAGGAGCCTTCGCAGGAAGTCACTTTCATGGCAAACTATTTTTGTGTTGAATTTCTTTGTTGGTAAAATATAAATTCAACATTGGTAAAATAGTCGCCACTAGGCTGCATAATCCCAAAATCATATCACATCTCTGCAAGAAGGTTGCCAGGCAAAATTGTGTGTGCATATGTGTGTGTTTATGTGTGTGTTTATGTATATGTATATGAGTGTGTATATATACATACATATATGTACTCAGTCTTTTTATTGAACTTTTCATTCAATGGTTTCTGTGATTTGGTTGTTAATAATTAGAAGTTAGATTAAATTCTCTTAAGTAATTTCCATAAATTATCATAGTTGTTTCCTCATATCTTCTTAAGACAGTGGGTAATACAGTGCAAGATAAAAATCCTGAAGTAGAAAACAGTGTCCCATCAGATCAGGAGAAAAATCATATCAACCACAGCAGGATACTCAGTGATTCCAGTTTTTGCAGCATTGAAGAACAGCACCGGTCTGCATATGAAATGGTGCAACAAATATTTTTGTCTACAAGAGATTATGTGAATTTTGTTAATGAAGTATTTCATCAGGTTGGTATAAATTGACATCTGTGAATAAATAAATATAATCAGCTGAGGAACATAAAATTTCATTTATAGAAAAAAATGTTTTAGATTGTATTGAAAGTATTTTAAGTATTGTATTGAAAGTATTCTATTCTGCAATCAGATAATAACAGGTACCAATGTCTACTTAATCATTTTGGTTGAAAATATTTAAGAAAGTTTTTTAAAATTTGCACAGCCTAATAAGTACTTAATAAGATAGTACAGTAATAAGTGCTTATTTTAGGTACTTAAATGTAATACAGTATGAATTTTATCTCAAGACTTGATTCATTTATTTGTGCCACCTATCTGACAAATGTACACTATAAAAAAACACACTAAAAAACCAAACATCAAAATAGTCCACAGTAAGAATATCAATATTATTTTAAAAGACTAGAAAAGAGCATATTTGGTGTTAACAATACAGCCATCTCACTAATTCTCCATTTTCCTAAGGAACACTGCCCCCCCCCCCCAATTTATTGATAGAGCTACATTTTGAAGATTTGAAAGCTACCATGGATGGGTCTAGTCTGATCTCCAGCGGAAATGTTATTCCACAGCACAGATGCCACAGCAGAAAAGACCTGTCTCCAGGTGTAGCTTTTTAACAGACACAAATGTACAACATACCTCTTCTGTTAGAATTGTTGCCACATTATTTGAATTCCTATGTCTTAGTTTTTCAACCTATAATATTGTCCTAAACCATGTGCCTTTCAAAAATATTAAAGCTCCTCTGATGATAGAGAAATGAAACAAATAGACATCATATAGACATTGAAAAAAGCTATACATGAGTATTAATGTACATCTAACCATCTCTAAACTCTTGGTCTTGATGTGCTTTTGTTACATAACTATGATATTATAATTATTTTTTATTTTATGGATGACAGCTCGATGGATTAAAGTAGGTAAATGGAGAACTTTGAGTTCAATCTCCTCATATCTATTACTCCTCTTTTAGGCCTTTTTGCTGCCACCATCAGAGATATCCTTAACTGAAAAAATTGTGAAAGTTTATAGGAAATGGATACTACATGAAAAACCCGTCTTCATGCAAGAACCAGATGCAAAGGAGACTATTCAAGATGATGATGTCATCACAGAACACTCAACAGAAGAGACAAATGGCAAACATGTATGCTACCAGTCTTTATTAATAGGCAATGGGTTTGTGTGATGTGAATTGAGGTTTGTAAATAATTGTATAATCTGAGCAAAGAAGATGCTCAGACTAATGTAAATAATATATACAAAACTTGGTTCCACTTTTTCTCTAATAATCTGTTGCTACTCCGGTACTCATTTTTCTCTTAGTCACTTTCAAACTTCAGAGGAATTCCCTCAATTATCAGTTGTGCTATTTACCATAGATAAAATATTTGAATAAATTAATGGAAAATTTTAATTACCGGTATATACTTAGAACATGGAAGGTTGGGTATGGAAAGTAGAATAGAATCAAGGTCTTGCTTTCCTTTTCCTTTTGATTTCTTTTGACAAAAAATCCAAAATATGGCAACAAAATTTTGGATCTTTAAATCAGAAATGACTGGCCTTAAAATATTATTCTTAGGATTGCATTAATTGTTAATCTGGGAGAAACATATGCTTATTTTATCCAAATGAAGGGTTGATATATTAAAATTTATACAGTAGTATAAATCTTTTTGTCTAAGAAAAGTAACTTTTAGGATATCCTGTTATATTTTTCTAAAGGCATCTGTTTAGAAATTTAGAATAGAATAGAGCTGGAAGGGACCTTGGAGGTCTTCTAGTCCGGCCCCCTGCTCAAGCAGGAGAACCTATACTATTTCAGATAAGTGACTGTCTAGACTCTTCTTAAAAACCTCCAGTGATAAGAGTGCCCATGATTTCTGAAGGCAAGCTCTTCCACTGGTTAATTGTCCTCACTATTAGAAAGTTTCTCCTTAATTCCAGGTTGCTTCTCTCTGGTTAATTTCCAACCATTGTTTCTTCTCCTATCCTCTGATGCTTTGTAGAATAATTGGACCCCTTCTTCTTTGTGGCAGCCCTTCAAATACTGCAATACTACTATCATGTTGCCCCTAATTCTTCTTTTCTTTAGACTAGCTAAACCCAAATCCTGCAGCCTTTCTTCATATGGTTTAGTCTCCAGGCCTTTGAACATCTTAGTTGCTCTTCTCTGAACTTTTTCCAAAGTCTCAACATCTTTTTTGTAGTATGTTGACCAAAATTGGTTGCAGTATTCCAGGTGTGGTTTTACTAGGGTTTTATAAAGCGGTATTAATACTTCACATGATCTTGATTCTATGCCTCTGCTTTATACAACTCAGGATTGTATTAGCTTTTTTGGCGGTGGCTGTACACTGCTGGATCATATGTAAATGATCATCCACTAGGATTCCAAAGTCTGTCTCACAGCTACTGTTTCTAAGCTAGATCTAACCTAATCTGTACCTTTGATTTTTTCCTGCCTAAATGTAAAACTTTGCTTTTGTCCACATTAAAATTCATTTTGTTGGATAGATAAGTTTGTCGAGATCTTTTTGAATCCTGAGCGTCTCTTCAGGAGTGTTGGCTATTTCTGTCAGTTTAGTATCCTAAGAATTTAATAAGTTCTCCTTCTGTTCCTTCTATGTTGAGTGATTCAGTTTTTCCTTCAGTATTCTTATACTGAGTTCAAATAATGATACACAGGCCACAGTGTTAAACTTATATGGAAATGTCAAGAAATTGCAACTGTATTTTCAATAGGTTCGCATCAAATTAATTCATCAAATTAATTCATCACTTACACATTTACTTATTAGTATTTACTATCTGTTGATAGTAAATGAATCAGTAAAACTGATTCGAATAGAAAATTAGGTTTTTTTTGTACAAATGTTTTGTCAGACATTGTTTTTTTCACTGGAAATATTTATTCCCTGTCTATACCATATTACTAAAGAAAATGAAAGGAGTTCTAATGCCGTGGTCACTAATTCATTCAAGATCTGTTGCATCAGTCTTTATTCCATTCTGTATTATTACTATATCTGATTCAAATAGTATCAAATCATCACCTCTTTATTGATAAAAGTCTTATTAATCTGGTATAGACTTTTGTAAATGGAACCAGTTCCTCTCCTTCTAACAACCCCCTAAGTTTGTGTTGACAATTATAGACCCTGTGGGCCCATATACTTGGGAGATTATCTCCCCTTAACCTTTTATATCAGTGGTAGTATCCAAGTAGAAATGGTACTTTATATTGTATGAAGCATGTGTAAATCAGTAGTGAAATATTGCCAGTCTCTCTCTCTCTCTCTCCCCACCCCCCCTCTCTCTCTCTCACACACACACACGTTAAATAATTTATGGTATAGAGTATTTAAATATTCTAACCATTAAGTGCTTGTTTATTTTTGGAAATGTATTAAAGCTGCTAATGCTTTTGTTAAAATTTGCACTGAGCAAACGGGGGGTTACATTCTGGGTACTCATATTGACTAATATGTTTTTGTAAAGCTTGTGTCTGGACATAAAAGATCCTCAAGTTGGGGAAGAAGTTATTCCTTCTCTAGTGCTGTTACCAGAGGATGCTTATTAGAAGATGAAAACCAGAATGTTAAAGCAGGTCTTCAAGCTACACTGCAGGTATTATATATATGATATACAAGAGATAGCTTTCTTAATTTATGTAATATATTTTGTACTTGTTAATTGTATTTATATTTGTTATGTAATTATACTGTAACTGAAATTATGCTTTGGACAAAAGGAAATAGCTTGCTCCTTTAGAACTGATAAATGCTAAGTAAAAGACACATTTGATGTTACCTTAATTGTAACTAGAATTATTCTAAATTTGGGGTGGACTCCTGCAGTGGATCAAAAGTATAGAAAATAAAAATATTCAGACTATATTTGAGCTGCAAAAAATTAAAAGGAAGTAGAAAAGAAACACAAATAGCCCCAGAAATACTTAAAAAACATAAAACCAAAAAAGGCCCCAGAAGATCCCTAATTAGCATCTATATTTTGTCCTTTTTCTCCTTCACATTCTTCAAAGTGATCTCCCCTCCCCCCAAAAAGATCAAATGAACCAAGATCAAAAGACTTCTAAGTGGTGATTTTTAAAAGATAAATAGAAATCCTCTGTACACTCCAGAGTACTACTCAAAGGCAGCCCATTTTGCTGCTTAAAATAATCAATTCATGTTTGAGGCAAGAAATTTTATACTCAAAACATTTTTAAAAATGAACTGTTTAAAACTGTTTTTCTATGTAATTCAAGATTGAGAATATCCATGAGTCGCTGCAACAACTGTCTCTCTGAACCGTGACAGTGATTAAATTATCTTATGATGGCTCTTCAATATTTTAGTTGATCAGGGCCTATTCCCATGATCATTACATCCTTTTTCAAGCTAACTTTTGCAAGACAGTCACATGGTCACAGTTCACCTATGTAAAATTCTGTACTCTAAGCGTCTGTTCATAAGCTACCATTTTCAGTTGTTTCATTGCATGATGCTCTAGATCAGTGATGGCTAACCTTTTCCATGTTGCGTGTCAAAAGTGTGTGTGTGTGCGCTTGCGTGCCTGTACCCATGATGCAATGTGCATGCTACTCTCCCTGCTACTCTCCCTGCACATGCGCGTGTGACCCCCACACTGCATGCCTCTGCGCATGTGTCTCCCCCCCCCCCCGCACATACGTGGCAGATACCCAACAATCAGCTGGCTGTTATTTAATATGTGTAAGGGACTGTGTGTTCTGATCCACGCCCTTTTCCAACGAATCAAACACACTCCAAATAGAACAGAAACTTTGTAATGCTTTTGCAAAATAATTAGCTGTGATAAGCACAAGCCTTGCCAAACTGTGCAACACTTGCCAAAAGATAACAGACAAGAAATAATTTGCAATACAAGAATCTTCTAATGCAAATTGAGGATACTGGAATGTCCACAAGGCTGGAGTTTCAAAATGTCTTTGCCTTCTGCAAAGTACATTCATTCACAGCTGGCTTTTATCTTTTTGAAGGAGGGGCCATTACCTTGCAGCCTTACTCCTGAGTCGCCCGTGCTATTGTAGCTGCTCTTTCCTCCGAGCAATCCTGCGTGCATGCGCACTTGTTACAGGCTCCTCGGGAACCTCCTCATCACTGCTGCCAGCCCCCACAATCTCTGAAGGCAGCAGTCCACTCCCTAATGGTCCTGGCCCCTCATCTGAGTCCCCGGTCTCCTCAGCTGTCTGTACCTGCTGCCGGCTAACCACAACACTGTGCTGTTTATAACTTATTGTAAGGGTGATTTCTGTTTGTGAATAGATTAATTTAATCCTAAATGTTGTGAAGAATATATTGTTCAAATTATTCAAAATAACCTGAATAGATTCATATACCTTCTCTCTCTCCCCTCCTTCCCTCCCTCTCTCTCCCTTTCCCTCTTCCTCCTCTCTTTCCTTCAAAATATAAAGGTATTTTTGACAAACTCTGCAAACATATTTTTATTGGAACCATGCAGTGAAGCCCCTGAACTTCTTAAAGAGCAGATAAATTCTTGCAGAGCAGTTTTGAGTATATATAGGCGCATGATAATGGAAGTTCCAATGAATAAAAAGACCTGGTATGTTTATTTGTATTGGAATGTATGAATGACTTTGGAAAAAGAGGAGGAAATGCTGCTTAAGAAACAATCAGACAAGAGAGGTAGGAGCTGGCAGTCGCTTAATGATCAGAGAAAGAAATTTTAGAAAGACCTGCCCAAATGGATCAACCTATTAATAGCGAAGGCAGGAGGTTTATGCCTTCATATTTGCAATATTCTATTAATATAGCCTTACAATAAAGTAGAATTAGTTCATCTTGTCCTGTTTCCTATCTAGTTTTCCTGGGAACTCCACTGATAATTTGTTTTGTTTTCTAGGGAGAAAAACATATTGTTATAAGGCAGGATTATTTGAAATACACGTTTTTCATGACTGAACAAATAGAATGCTGTCAATTATTACCACTTCTATTGTAACTTTGAACTGTCACTAAACTAAGTGTTGTAAGTCGAGGGCTATCCATATTAATTTTTTAAGTGTGCACAATCCTAATATTTGCTTCTCTTTATAACTTTTTCAGAGCTGTTAGAAGTACCTATGTCAGTAGTGTCAACATTATTATGAGAGAATGTTAAGATAAATACCATTAGCAAATTTTTACATTCATATAAAAATTGTGTGTGTGTGTGTATTTTTCTCCTAGGGAGCATATGTTACAAATGCTTCTTAGCATAACAGAGGCTGTCATGAGCAACTCCAAAGAAGATCAAATAAAGGATGCATTTGGTCAAAGTTTAGCGGGTTCACTATTTCGGGTATGTCTCATTTTTTTGTAGAGCAGTTTAAATATTGTTCAAGTGCTATAGTTAATTAATTAAATTTATATGTTGCCTGAGTCTCAGCTACACAGAAAATAATTGTATTGCAGAGTTATATTCTATAGCACAATATAGCAAGATATGGCAAGATCACTATTTGTCATATGTTTAGAAGCATATAAATGACAAGAACATTAAATGTTGGTAATATATGAACTTCATTATTTAATATAGGTATTCCTTGCTTCATGACCACAATTGGTCATCTCCATTGTTGAATGAAGTGGTCATTGAGTGATATGACTGCCCACATGACTGCTTTGCTCAAAGACTGCAGTTCCAGTACTCACAGTTGAGGTTGTTAAGTGGAGGGAGTCTCATGTCAGGGAAGCAGGGTGCTTCTGGAGGGGTGTGTGGGAAAACCCTGGGATGCTCCACTCAGAAGGTGAAAAAGCTCTCTGTCTAAATGCAAGGACAATTTTCAGTCCCTGAGCAAAGAGACACTTGTGTATGGCCTTTGCCAGGCATCCCATGGCCTCCCCCACCTGCCTGAGGCATCTCACACTCTTACCTTATAATGCTCCCTCTCTGATCAGGAGCTTAAAATCCTGCTTGGATCTTGTCTTGGGTCTTTCATCTCTAGGGACTTGCTAAAAGAGCTGCCTATTGAAGGATGCCAGCTCTCCTTTTTGCCTAACAGGGAAGTCATGTGGAGTACAGAAATGGAATTCAAATCATCATGATCGGAGCTGTGTTTCTCAACTCTGCCAAAGGAGTTGAGCTCCCCTCCACATAGGGAAAGGAATCTTTCCTTGCATAAACTTAGGATCTGAATTCTGTTTCTCCATCCTGCTAAAGGAGTTCAATTCTCTTCCTTGCGCAAAAGGGGACACTTTTGGCGGGATGGAGAAATGGAGCCCTGCTGTTTGAAATCTAAGCTCTATTTCTCCATCCTGCTAAAGGAGTTTCACTCCCCTCAGCAGGCAGCTCTTTCAGCCAATCCACAGAGACGAGGGAGTCCTCTCAGTGGGTAGGAGCAACTTGTAACCTTCTCTGCCATTTTCCTCGTTGACTTTCTGGGGAAGCTGGCAGATAAGATTACAGATGGTGATCACATGATTGCAGGCTGTTTGGCAACTATTTGTAAGTGCAACAGGTTGCCACATACCCAGACTGAGATCATGTGACTGCGGAGGGGGGCGCTGTGCAACATTTTACGACAGCTAGATGTGCTTTTCAGGCCCTAAAGCACCCTTTCCAAGGCCATCATAATTTTGAATCATTATTAAGCACCATGTCTTATGTCAGTCACTTCCTGTAATTAAATTTGTAGTTTTAATGCTGCAATATAACCAATGATTAGTTCTACGATTTTAGCATAGGGAACAGGAAAATGGAGGTGGAATAAATGACATATATGTCATGCTCTAAGACTGAAATAGTTTCACAAAACTAGACGGAATTTGTGTGAAATAACAATTTTACTTCCCCACTAAATAAATTAGGGATAGGCTTATAGGTTTTGATCTTACGATATATTATATATTCAGAGATACAATTCTGGAAGTGGCCCAACTGCAACAGGTCTTTCTGTTGTCAGAATAAAATATTTTACAGTGGGAACATTATATTAACAGAATGGTTTGCAGAGTTCAAGTTAGAGAATCAATCTGAAATGACATTTTATTGGGGGGGTTGGGGAGAGGGGATTGTGTTTTTTTGTGTATTTGTGTTATTTCCTGGTTCTGCAAACTGCATCTAATAGATTGGGAAACAGAATCAAATAGCTTTTAAAAATGAAAAATACTTTTAATGTCATTTACTAGGAAAAAGTTAGTAAAAATATTATTGTTTACTTAAAATGAAGTTTAACTAATAACCAGCAATTTCAAAATGCAGATAAGATGCTGTATATTCTGGGTGTTTTCCGATACTTAATTGCCCATATTGCATAATTCTTACAGAAGACAAATATCTGAAACATTTTAAACTTAAAAAAAATGAATACAAAACAAAATAATAGGAAACTGTTATGTGTTTGCATGGCACACTTCTTTGGTTTTCCTAAATATAATGTATTATATATCCCAAAGGTGCTTTTTTTCAAGAGACAACTGGACTTTCCAGAAAGTCCGGTTGCCTCTTCAAAAAAGCACTTTTGGGACAACCATGACCTGGATGACTGAGAATATATAGTATTCCATAATCTGGAATGATGCATCTACTTTGAATAATCTGGTATAAATGTATCTACCCTTTCCTTTCTTTAGAAATATGTACAGATAGTCCTTAACTTACAACCACAATTGAGCCCAAGATTTCAGTTGCTAAGCAAGACTGTCGTTAAATTATTTTTGCCCCATTTTATGATCTTTCTTGCCACAGTTGTTAAGTGAATCACTGCAGCTATTAATTAGTAAGCTTCCCCATTCACTTTGCTCCTCAGAAGGTCACAAAAGGAGATCCTATGACCCTGGAACACTGCAACTGTCATAAATACCAAGAATCTAAGTTTTGATCAGAATGCTGCAGCTCTCATAAGTGTGAAAAAACTCTCATAAGTCACATAAGTTACAATAAGTGCCATTGTAACTTTTGAACGGTCACTAAATGAATGGTTGTAAGTCAAGGATTACCTAGAAATAAGTTCATTTGAATTTCATTCAGTTGAAGATGAGAATCCAATCAGCTCTCTATTTTTCCTTGTCTTTTAACCACAGACTCTCATTGTGGCTTGGATCCGGGCAAATTTGAGTGTTTATATTTCTCGTGAGCTCTGGGACGAGTTGCTACGTGTGCTATCATCTCTTACAGATTGGGAAGAACTAATAATAGAATGGGCTAATATAATGGATTCTCTAACATCTGTTTTAGCAAGGACAGTATACGGTGTTGAAATGACCAACTTGCCACTAGATAAGCTAAGTGAACAAAAAGAGAAAATACAAAAAGGAAGAGGTAAATGATAAGGAAATGATTGAAATTATCTGTATGAAATGAGAAAAATAGTAAATGCTACTTATTTACTGAAAGCAAATATTGCACTCCAATGCAATTTTATAGCTTATTCTAAATATATAAAGGGCTATTGTTTGAAAGGTCATGCAAGGAGATCATGTGTTTACATAAGGTCTCTAAATACTGATTTCCCCTAAAAAGTACCTATTTTACCTACTCAGTGGAATTTGAATTCTCCAACATGTGTAAGCAGTTTATTTTATTGTGATCAAATTCAAAAGCAGATTATACTTTATTTCAATTCAAATCTAAGAAATGTTTATTATTTATTTATTATTTATTGCATAATTCTGGAATTATGTGCAGTAGCACGTGGCTGCCAGCCTATTACTTCTGCTTGCTCACGGCTGCAACAGAGCAGGAGGCTGAGTGGTGTGGCATGGCTGCAAGGCAAGGCAGGTGTCAGGGCATAGATGGCCTGGCTGTGGGGGTCCTGAGGTAAGCCTCTGCAGAGTGCATGGGACAGCTCCCCACTTCGAGGCCATGGCACTGGCACATCACTTAGCCTCCTGCTCCGTTGTGGCCACAAACAATGTCAGGGCATGGATGGCCTGGCTGCAAGGGCCCTGTGATAAACTGGTGCGGGACGCATGGGTCAGCTGCACTCTCCCACTTCAGGACAGTAGCACTGGCACACCACACAGCCTCCTGCCCTGCCACGAGCAAGCAGAAGTGGGCCTTACGTACATTGGGGGGTGGAGACATTTCTCCCCAAAATATGCCCTACTGCTTATTGGTGGGAAGGAAATAAGACTTGGTCTTATTTTGGGGGCAACACGGGTACCTAGTTCTCTCAATCCATCATATGGTTTTGTCATGCCCCTGTCGGAATCTATTCAGAGTGGGAGGCCGAGCAGCTGAGTGGGAGTGTGACTCGTTGGCCATGGAAGAAACTGGGAAAGGGCAAAGTCTGGCTGGGCAGAGCAGGGGAGAGGTAGAGCAAGGGAAGGAATTCGGAGGAAGACCCAGGCCCACCCCCTCTTCATCCTAGGGCACACAGTGAGGAATGGAGAAGGGAGCAACGTGAGTTGTGTGGCTTATGGGGGAGGAAAAGGCCCTGATTCCCTTCATTAGCTACAGCTGGGAACACAGTGTTTAAAAAGGGAAGCTGCGTACAGCAAGTTGTTGGGAGCAAATTGTGAATTATCTGGTATGGAGGCTTATCTGTGTTCCTGAGGTCTTCCCAACTGTGTGTATTTTGCTGTGCTTTCAAGGCTGCAATTCCTTCTCCTGCCCTTTCAAGTTAATCACTACAGCGTGGTTTGTTTGGATTTTTAGTTACAGTTTGTATGTACTTAGTTTTTGGACTGAATTTCCTCCATTTAAAGACTGTTCCTGGGAGAGTTTTTTCTCCAGCCGAAGGTAACCTGCACATTGGGGGCAAAGTTGGAAATAATAAAGGGACTCTTCTTGCTTATTTAACTGTATTGCTTTTGTGCCATGGCCCAGGTCATCACAGGTTTAGCCTCCAGACCCTTTGTCATCTTTTTGTTATTTTCTGCACTCTTTCTAGAGTCTCAACACCTTTTTTGTATCATGGTAATCAGAATTGAATGTAATATTCCAAGTGTGGTCTCACCCTGCAGTATAAAGCAGCATTAACACTTCACTTGATCTTGAAGCTATCCCACTGTTAATGCAACCTAGAATTTCATTAGCTTTTTTTGGCAGCTGCAGTACACTGGTAGCTCATATTTAAGTAAGAGCTGCTTATACATCCAGAGCTAAGACTGGCAGGCATATTGAGACTATTGGTATAAAAGCAACGTAACAAGCTTCCAAATACCACTGCCAGAATATTTTATTACTTGGTGAGGCATTTTATTTTGAATGGACTTTGAATTTTGGTCTGATCTACTAAAGTGCTGAAGAGGTTGTTTTTGTTTTCTTTAGCAATTTCTCTACACCTTTGGAGAGTCCAGTGTTTGCCTTCTGTTACTCACTAGCCAGCTTCCCACTTGTGTCGCAACTGTAGACTGTTTCCTCCTTTCCTGTATTTAAACCTAACAAATGCAGCCCACCTGTAAAAAAGGTGGGAACGGATAGGGATGAGCTGGTCAAATATAGGAGGGAGAGTTGGATTGTGCAGATCAATTTCAAGTTGACTGATAGATCTGGCAAAGACTTCTATAACAGCTTTCTAATGCAGAAATAGCACAGCATTGTATGTTGAAAGTTTGTTTTGTTTTGTTTGTTTGTTTGTTTTTAGTAATTCAGACATGAGATCTTTTCATTTACTATTTGTAACTCTTAATGTGGGAAGTTACTCCAGACTTCTTACCATCTTTGTTGCACCTTTGCACTCTTTCTAGATTTTGAACATCTTTGTGTATTGTGATCAGAAATGGATGTAGAATTCTAAGTGTGGTCTCATCAGTGCAGTATAAAGTGGTATTATTTCACATGATCTTGAAACTAGCCCTCTATTGATGCATCTAGGACCGCATTAGCTTTTTTGGCAACTGCAGCACATTGCTGGGTCATATTTAATTGGTGGTCTATTAGGATACTTCACAATTGCAACTGTTGAGCCAGGTAGCACCTATTGTATATCAGAAAGTGCGTTGTTTTTGTCTTGCCTATGTGTTAGCAAAAGTCTGCTTTGGTTTAGCTGCTGGCTCTCTCTTCTTATGCACTTCTTGCTTTTACTGTTTTTACTGACATGGTTAGCTATTAAATTCCTGCTTCAGCAGATTCTTACAAAAACTCAATTATTGAGGAAGCTTCCAATAGGTTGTGTTCATTATCTAATTATTCCTTAGTTCCATTCCTAAAATCAAATTTTGTTTACAGTTTTGGTGCTAGAAATCATTTTAATTGATTTAAATGACAGTTCCTGCTTAGCCACTTATATTGGAGATTGATCAGTTGGTTAACTGTCAATTAGATTTTCATTTACAATCTGATCTTCTTGAATTCCCTAAGCACATTAAGGTTAATTTTGCTGTACATTCCATTATTGAAAGGTGGCATTTTGGACTCTCAAAAAGGAGCTGCAGTTGGAAGATCGTTTTCTTTGAGCTGGAGAGATCATCCTGATGTTGCAGAACCAATGAGATTTAGGAGCGCTACCACCTCAGGAGTACCAGGAATTGAGAAAGCAAGGAATACAGTGCGTCAGAGGACAACAGGTTAGAAACAGGCAATTTAGTGTTCCAATAATACAAATGTCTTTTTAAAAAAAATTAATTTCTAACATTTCATATTTGTTTTGATTGGAGTTGCTTTTTAAACAATCTTGTTTTTGTCAGGGTTTCTACTAAACCCTATATTTCTGCATATAAATTGTTTTCATTGCTCTGGGACTTTTCTAAATCTGGCAACCCTACCCTTGGCTTAGAATTTGTTTATCAACCAAATATTAGAGTCAGTGTTTCTGGTCCAGTTAGTATAAAATACTTAACCTTGGGTGAAGGTAGGAAGGGAAACTTTCTGTTTTGGTTATTCGTTATTAATTAAGCATTTTTAAATTGTAAGATGGTAGAAAATAGTTGGGATTGCAAAATAATTGAGATTTCACATATCTGTGTCTAAAAATAGTTGGATCATTCATATGATCATCACGATGTCGTAATTCGGTAGCACATACTTGGTTTTTTATTCTGGTTATTCAGTGGAGGGTTGCATTGCATTGATTGAAACAACCTTTGAAACTCCTATATGGTTCAACCTCTAGTTGCTGTATATGTGTGCACATGTTTTCAAGTATGTAACTGGGTTCTTTAATTTTATGGAATATTCAAAGATTGTATGTATATAATGTAAAGGCCTTTGCTGTTAAATTGCAAAATTATTGTGACTGGCAGGTTCAATGTTGTTATAAGTTACGTAGTATTAAATACTTGGAGCTCTAAGAGTAAAACCAAAATTCCTGTAAAATCCATAACAAATACTTTTGCAAAAATGCTTGTAATTTTTCATCAACTTTGATTAGTAACATAATCTCTACTGTAAGATATATTCCTCTGATTTCCTCCCAGTTTTTTTACAAGCTTTCAACTCCATATGGGGGGAGGGGGTTCACTTTTCTTCATTCATCTTTACTAATTGAAATCATGGCTTGTTTTAATAATGGTTTCTTGAAAAATCCAGGGGTAGTCTCCACAGAAAACTCATGTTTAGTTGTCCACTTCCCAGTTATATCTTTGTTTGTCACACAAGGATGAAACACTTCATAGACCCTAAACCTTTTAAAACGGGAAGGGACTTTTGCCAGAGAATTCATTCTTCATAAGGACATAGGTTACTTATACAGATACTTCTCATAAATTCTTGCAAATATTTCTATATTTCTAAATGGAGGTATGGTCTGTAGCAGGGATCCCCAATCCCTGGGCCACAGATTGGTACTGGTCCAGGGCCTGTTAGGAACCATGCCATGCAAATGGCAGGCGAGCAAGTGAAGCTTCATCTATGCATGCCCAGGATATAGGTTGCATGCGAAAATACCCCCCCACACAAACCAGTCCATGGAATAATGGTACCAGAAAAGTTGGGGACTGCTGGCATACAGCATCAAAATGACTCTTTAGGCATTAAATGTGATACAAGTTGAAAGCTAATGACATTCTCCTTACCCCATCATACCTTTATCATGTAGTACAAAATTGTATGCATTGCAAAAGTTTGCAAAGTGAGCTAAGAAGAATTTCTTAACACCAACTCTCTGAAAAAAGTGTCCTGCCTGCAGCCAGAAAAAGTGCCCTGTCTGAAGCCATGCTAAGTAATACTAGGCCCTTTAGAATAAAGATTTACAAATAGTTTTTAAAATGGTTGGTAACATTTGCCTTCGGATGAACTGCAGCTAATATACTGGTTCAGTTCCATCTTATTTCTCTATTTTTGTTAGCTATAGCTACTTATAGTTAGACGAGATTGGTTTTATAACTCATCATGTAAGTCTTTTGGAAGTGGGTTTTTTTCCCCGCAGTTTCAAAATTACAGCTTTATGCTCAAAAAATAAATCCACTGGTACCTCTACTCTCTTAGTAGGCTTAATTTCCCTCTGTACTTTTTTCTGGTTCCATCCTATCGGGATGCTGGAGTAAGATAAGACAAGAACCTAGCATCTCCCATATGATAGGGTTTGTTCAATGGACAGAAACATTGTGCCCTGGAGAAGGCACACAATTGAAAAGCATTACTACGTAGAAGAAATTAGTTTTATTATTAACCACCTGTGTATAAATATGGTTAATGTTAGCTGTGAAACTTGTCCAGGAGCAAATTCTTTTCTTGTTCTCCACCATGATACAAGAACTTACCACTTGTTGTTTAGCTTGGAAAACTATTGTATTAGATTCATGGTTCTTTACTATTGTCTGCTTTAGCTATGCTACAGGTAGTTAACAACCACACTTTTAGTGACAATTCAAATTTGGAATAGCCCTGAATGAATGGTACTTGCAACCAGTTCATAGAGTTTCAATTGCTGTAAGACTCCACATTCATATGATCACAATCCTGGCATCTGGCTTGCAATTATAATGTCACTTGCCTGTGATTGACTTTTTTTTTGGTGCCAGCTTCAAATAAGCAAAGCTAACGGGAAATCTGGCAAGAGGTTGCAAATGTGAACTATGTGATGCCTCACTTAACAATGGAAATCAGTAATGTTAGAATTGCTGTCACTAAGCAGGACCTTCATGTAGCATGCTGCTTTATGACCACAATATGTAGCAACAGCAATTCTGATCCTAATTGTCATTTTTAACTGAGGACTACCTGTATCGAGTTCTTGTGCACAACCACTCTCCATCTTTCCCAACAATGCTCCAACAGTTTCATACAGCTTCTCAAGAAATAAAGGGACCTATTCCTTCCCTTGGTAAATACCTAATTTGCAAATATTTCAGATAGCTCACCACTCTTCTGCGGTGAATATTCTGATAGAAGGCTTTCTCTTCACATCCAAGCCTCTTTTTATGACAGTATCAACAAATGCTTTTGATAGAATTTGGATTTCTCTCTTGAGTATTATTAGGATAAATGAGATATGATTCCTCTCCAAACGAAAACAAGAAGTTAATTATTTGGACCTTTGCAATTTTCAAAGCCTTACATTCAAACCCAGCCTTTGGAACAGAATTATCAGGTCACTGCTAACAGCATGATTATAGTTTTCTACATCAATAAGTAATGTAGCATGCATCGTCTAAGCCTTTTCAGATGAGATTCGTGCCTCTGTCACTGGATAACATTTGTATGATAGCTATCTGTCTCTTACGGTCTGGCAACAAGAAAACTGATTGAATGGGACTGTTTTCACACTTCTATCTCTTATAGGTAGATCTGCATTTGTTGATAGCAAGGACAATATTTAATTTGTGAGAGATTCCCTTTATATATCTTTTCCCATTCACTCAGAATACTTTTTGTCAGCATTGCTGTTATAGGGAAGGAACCCAGAACAGAAAATTCTATGAGAGTTTATTTTCTTATACTTAGTGAACCCTGGCACTTTCATCACTAAGCGATGTGGTGGTTAAATGAGTTGCAATTGATTTTACAAGCATTTTGTTGTAGTTGTTAAGTTAATCATGCTGTCATTAAGTGAATCCAACTTGCCCCATTGGTTTTACCAGCACTGTCATAAATTTGAACAGTTGTTAAGCAAATGGTTGTAAGTCAACACTACCAGTATACATACTTTTTTGATTTTGGCAAAATTTCTTTGAAAATGAAAGCACATGGGAACATGTAGGGATAATATATTAGATTTATATAATTAACATTATCATTTCTTCATAGCAATTGTTTTTAAAAATGTAGCCTGCTCATTATACTCAAAATGGTTGTTAGTCTTTGTGTTTAAATGGCTTCCCCTTAATCTGTTTTCTTTCTGTCCTTCAGCTAGCCTCAGAGGGTGGTATCAAGACTGAATTACTGCTCGCTATTTTGTTGGATAACGACTATGTCCACATTTCTGTAACTTAGAACAGTTCATTCTTTAAAAAAACAATTTTGGAACACTAAGAAACTTGAACTAATAAGAGTCAAAATTCTAATGTTGTTCTATGTTCAGAATACTCAAAAGTGCCATTTAAAGTCTAATTATTTTACACCACTCCCAATGCAGCTTTTCGGCCAAATGTTTAGACTCGATTGGGCATCTTTAGCCATCTTCCTTAAGAACCTTGGATAGGCAGGTTATTTGATGGTGTTAAGCAGGGGTGTCAAACTGGATTTCTTTGAGGGCCGGATCACCATTGTAGTTTGCTCTGGGGGGGGGAAGTGGGGGGAGATGGAATGGATGCCTCCTGCAACATTCTGCCGGCCAAAATGGGGCACGCCTGTAGCCCCCTCTGCCCCATTTTTGTCCTGAACGGCCTCCAGCACTTTGCCAGCCAAAACAGGTTGAGGGGGGGCAGTGTGTGGCTCCCCTACGCCTTGTTTTCAGCCTCCATGGCCTTCAGCAGCACTCTTCCAGACAAAAAAGTGCCCTGCATAGGACCCATGAGGCTCTGTGCAGCCCATTTTTGGCCAGCAGAGTGCTGCTGGAGGCTGGGGAGGCTGAAAATGGGCCGAGCAGGTGGGCTGAGTGGGGCCTCCATGTGGCCCGTTTTGGCTGACAGCGTGCTGCAGGAGACTAGGGAACCCGGAAATAGATTGTGGGGGCCGCATGCGGCCCTCCAGCAGCCTGTTTTGTCCAGTAGAGGCACTGCAGGCCAGGCCTTTGATATTTCCAGGCCAGCCCCACAGGCCTTGAGTTTGACACCCCTGGTGTTAAGTATTAAATTGTTGTAGGATGTAAGCTGTTCCAAGTAAAGCTGCCTTTGTAATTGACTGATTATGATTTTGTCGATGCTGATATCACCATGGATACTATCTTTACTCTTTTGCCACAACTGTTTTGTTTCCATCTTCTTACAGATTTTTAGATGATGATGTAGCCATTTTCTCTACAGTAATACAATGTGCAAGCATAAGATGTACTTTTTATAGAATCAGTAACTCAGAGAAATAAGGATGATGAGCAACATTAATGATACAGAAGCTCCAAAAGCAAGATTTTCTTTCTGTCCTCTAGTTTTTTTCTAATAAACTGTCTTTCTAAAAAAAAAACTCTTGAATATTGGAAAGAGATACACTTTATTTAATTTCTTCTTTTTTACCTTAATGAATTGTATGTGCACAGCATTCATGTTTATGAGATTCTAAGCCTGTTTTTCTATGTGGAAAAAACATCATTCTGCTAAGTACATTAAAATTATTCTTTTACTTCTATTAATTTATTTTTCCCTATAAGCAAAGCGAAGCCTGTCTATCAACAACTGTGCTCGTCTCTGTGAGGCTTTGCCAGCCACTAAAAGTGTGCCTCTTCTCCTTCATACTGTGAGCTCTCTCTTGCCTGATATCTCTTATACTTCTTACTCTTGCACTTTTTCAGGTATGATATTATACAGTTGTTACAATTTAACAAGATTGTATTCTGCTTTATTTTACCGTATCTTACGTACAGCATCCTAACATTACATAATATTGTATTTTAATTGAAAACATTGGTGTTTTTCCAAGTATGTCAGAAAGTAAGCATTAACAATCTGAAATCTTGTTTAGATAAAGCAGTTTCCCAAGTTTCTTTGAAACTGAAACCCAAATCTTTTCTGGACATATACCAATTTCCCTTGAACAATACTCACTTGTCAGTGACAGAGTATAATCTTTTATACTGTGAGAGACTTAATTGTTTACTTTAAATATAGCAGTTGGTTAGACTTCTACAATATTCTCAAGTTGTTAATACTTGTTGGGAAGTACAGTATGAATGAGATAAATCCACACTACCTATTTTTGACACCTCCAGTTTCTCTCTATGCAGCTAAATCAGCAGCTGATTTTTCCAGCTCAGGGGAGATCATATCATGGGTACACATCTATTCCAATTCCCTTATATCTTTAAGTTTCTTTTCAATTTGGCCAACTGTATTTGAGAAAACGAGGAAAGAGAATTAACCATGATTCTAGTTCTTAATCTTGATACATTTTTGTATAGAATTGGTGTTGGATGGATAGCCTGCTAAGAGAGTACTGGCATTGTCCACTGATCAACCCATGTTTGTCAACCAGAGGACAATCATCTTAGCAAGATGAATTTATTTTAGGAGGAAGGGTAAATGGGACATGTACATACTTTTATTTGTTCTGCTTCTTTTGGAGGCAAGTCTTCACTGTAAGATTTCCAAGCTCTACCACAAACAGAGCGATCTAATGATACCAGAGATCTATCAAAAGATGACTGGTATTGTAAGCCCTCTTTGCACCCTCAAGTTCTGCTTCCATTGTTAAATCATCCGGTCCTTGCTGCCATTTCCGCTGCCTCTCTCTTTTCAGGGATGCTACCTGCTGCTGGACTCAAAAATGCTTTTGTTAAGACTGATATGGCAGAAGCATTGAGTTCATTGATGTGATTTTATTTTCCCATTAATACCTTCCAGAGTAGAATAGAGTAGAGTAGAGTAGAGTAGAGTAGAGTAGAGTAGAGTAGAGTAGA